GCGCGCGCGCGTGTGTGTGTGTGTGTGTGAGAGAGAGAGAGAGAGAGAGAGAGAGAAAGAACCGCGAATAGCACGCGGCCCGGTGTGACAGCCAGCCAGCCAGCCGGCTGTTACCGGGTGGGTGTGTGCGTGCGTGCCGTTAATTAGAAAATTTAATTTTCGTGACCTCGTTTCACGAGCGGACTATACCGGTGGCTGTCCTATTTACGCAACGCGCATGAGCAGGGACATTCAGGCTCCCGCCGTCCCCGGCGCACAGGGGTTAGAAGGGGCAAACGCGTTACCTTGCCATTTATCTGGACACGAACGCCGCAAAGCGCAACTGCACGCGCGATAGAATTCCTTTTTTATTTCTATGGCTGTCGGGGACTGGGGTGATCGAGAATATTCGAGAGTAGAGCTGATGTCTGATCGTGTAACCGGCCAAGGGAATTGGTGGGAGAGAGAGAGAGAGAGAGGAGGGGGGAGGGTATAACTTCCAGCGAACGAATAACAGGTTAACGAATGGGTTAACAGAAGGAAATGCCTGCGCCTCGGTGGCGCATCCGCCGACCGATATTGGAGTCACACGATACGCGAGTGCGATGCCAGTCCGTGGATTTTCGACACGCCTTTCTCAAGTTACGGCCAGATAGAATCTGCGAAGTGGCAGCGCTCGCGCGCCTGCGCGCACGCGCGTACACACACACACACACACACACACGTACGCGTGCACGATTCTCTCGGTTGCCGAGAGAGAGCCGCAACTCAGTTTTTTTGCAGATTCGTAGAAAAGCGTAGCGAACGCAACGCAATAAATACTCCATGAAACGAGGGATAGCGCTATTTTACGGTCGGTCAGGCGTGGCAGGGAAATATACGTAGCCTGGATACCGCTACGTGGGCGCGGTTTGATTCGTAATGAGAGGCACTGGCGTGCGCTAGGCTGCCTGTCCGTAAACCGAGGCTCTTTTCCGCGCTCGCATCTATATATGCCGCTTGTGTGTGCGTGTATATGCGCGCGTGGACGCGGGGGAGAGGTCGGTTTTATGCGCAAAGTGAGTACGGTAGCACTGGCCTGTGCACCAGCTACCGGTGACCCCACGTGGAACGCATTAGCGCAATATCTTTCTACCTCCGTTAGGTAGCTCACGCGTGACCGCGGTTCCATTTCGTGGAAAAACTTTGCTCCGCTCCGAAAGCAGAACGAACCGGACCTGGTCAAACCGAAGTGTCCGGTTCCGATATTTTTGCGCCCGGCGATATGTCTGTTTCGCACGAGTTTCGTAATATCGGTAATAGTAAAATCGAATCACCCTGTTCTTATCTGACGACGATGTCAAAGTGAAATGAAGTCGTTCGGCACTGGTTCATCTAAAATTTTTACTCTTCGCGTATTTCTTTAGGCAGCTGTCTACTAGAAAGAAGAAGCCCGACCGCGGAAAGTAACACTCGAATAAAGGGAGATGATCGTAGGATTAAATATAGATAACCTTTCGACGTGTTTATTCTTATTCGATGCACATGTACGGTAGTTGTTACCATATCGAAGATACTACACGTGGAAAACTCGAGTTTTAGAAAGGGGGAACTTCTTCTTACAATGATACTCTTCAACGTCAAACGAAAGTACATATATACATATATTATACTTAATTATGAATGAAAATCGTGCGATCCTTGTTTACAATGAACGCGTTACCGTGAGCACGTGAACACGTGTAACAGCGATCTCCGTCTCGATCTTCATCGATTGCAATTGCAATTAATTTCAAACACCATGTTCGTGACAAGACACACGTAACAGCGCGTAGTTTTTTTTTTTTTTTTTTTTCGTACATCGCCGTTTTCCTTGATTCACGTGACGATCGTCCGTAATCTTTTAATCGCCATAATTAATGCACCGATGTACATACTCTGACGCAAATCGGTATCTCCACGTCGTTATACGTGCATCAGTATCTCCACGTGTAAGCGAACGTACATGGCTGACTTCTAGTGACGTCGAAGGTTACCGAAGCGTGAATCGGTAAATACTTGGACGGCGTTTATCTGTTGGCGTAAGTACGCGTGAGTGGTAATTTTGAAGCTTCCGTGCGTTCCGTTGCTTCTGTCGTGTACCTTCGTTTTCTGGCAATCGTGCACGTTTTCGTAACGACACTGTTTCTTCTCGATTCGACATCGGTCGGTCAGCCTTCTGTCAGCCATGACAGTGTGTCGGCATTCGAGCCCTGAAATTACAATAAAGATTACCAGCATACAAGTATCTCAAGGTGGCGGAATTTCTGATTTTTTCTTTTTTTTTGAACGTGGTGGAATTTCACTGTCGAATCTTATTCGGCGACTTTATTTAGCAGGGAAAGGAAAATAACGTAGTGCGGCTTGCTGGCATATTTATGAGGCATCGCGGATAATCAATAATTAATTAAACATGCATCTCGTGTACGTTGTTACCTAGAGTCAAAGTACACAGCCATATGCAGCGAAATCTTTAAAAAAAAAATCTCAATCTGAATAATCTTTTACGCCAAGTTTTACTATATCTTAGTTAGTTGCTAAGTATCTATTCTCAGACTCTGAACAATCC